GGAGGGGGTGGGGGGCCCCGGGGGGGGGAGGGCGGAGAAAGCGGTGTAACTGGAACAAACCGTGAACACGCCCGGTGGGCCAGGGCACGCGGCCTCCGGGCTACGCTGGGCGTGAGCGAGGGGCGTGATTGCTCCCATTCCCCTCACTTCCCACGCGTGTCCTGAGCAGCCGGCCTGTGCCAGGCACCGACTGGGGCCAGCGGCACATGGCGCCCGCCTACGGCTCCTTTGCCTTCCAGGTGCAGAGCCCGTTGGGGATCCAGAGGCCGGGCCGACGGAGGCCATCGGTAGACCGTATGCAGGAAATGCAGGAAGGTCTCGGGGATGGGACCAGGCCTCCTGGCAGACCCCACGCGAGGCGGCGTCCATTCGAAAACTCACAAGTCGTTTCTGGCCTTTAGGTAACAAGGAGGACTTGTGGCTGCACATCGACGCCGCCTACGCAGGCAGCGCCTTCATCTGCCCCGAGTTCCGGCACCTTCTGAACGGAGTGGAGGTGGGTGTCCTGTAATACGGTTGTTCCTTAAAAGTGCTACGCGATCAGTGACCTCTCCTTACAAGGATGTGGCATTCGATGCTTCAGCAAATTATTCTCAAGCCAGTTCCAGGGACGATGGGGAATCCCACTGCCCTGCGACAGGGGTGAGGCCCCCCCGGGTCACATGGCTGTCTTCTCGCAGTGTGCTGGCGTCTGCAGATCCTGGGCAGAGCCGTCGTCAGAGGATAGGTTTTAGCTTGTAAAGCTGTGGGAAATATGTAGGAACCAAACAACATCTTAATGCACGTCACACCGAAGAGTAATTTAAAAGAGTGACCTGTGCTTCCACGCGGCCTGGCTCCACACGGCCACCATGGTGTGACCTCGCGACCGCCCGTGATACTCACTACGACTGGTGTTGAGTGAGCAGCCACCGAGGCCTTCGAACGTCCCATGCCACTTTCAGAGCTTGTCAAGTCGGGGCCTGTGATGCCAACTAAAACGCCCGATTCTTCCGGGGAGTGGCACGCGGGACCGTCGACCACCGTGGCTGCCTTGCAGGGCCACAAATGAAGGCAGACAGTCGGCTCAGTGACGTGACCTCGGCCGCGTGTTCTGATGCTTCATCGTAGATTCCAGCAGGATTTTGCTGTTCACAGCAGCTCATGGGGCAGGAAGCTCCTACGTCAGGGACTCAGGTATAAATGCAGGAAAGTGTCCGTAGTGGTGACTCGGGCAGCATGTCAGGGAAGGAAGTGTGTCGGAGGAGCCACAGCACCAGCTCTGTGCTCAGAGGCCGGGCGTTTTGTGAGACTTCGCCATGACCTTGCTGAGCTGTGTGGGGCGAGTCAGGCACTAACTGGCCTGTTCGGATGCCAGCTTCACTCTAGGACTAGCTGTGTCCCCTCGGGTGGGTTAGGGGCCCTCTCGACACCCCACAAGACCAGTTTAGTGGACAGCTATTGTAAAGCTCAGAGGAGATAATACAATTTAAAGTGCTTGCGAACGGCGTCTGGCACACGGTGAGCGCTGTGCGTGCTTTAGACGCTGTTAGTATTTTTCCACCATGGCCTGGAGAGACGGCCCCTCAAAACCCACCTGCGCTCTTTTGGGCTGTGCTGCCGATCGATTCTCTAATCACGGGTTTGGGTCTCACAATGCCGTGATGCCAGGAAAGCGGGGTCAGAGATGCAGGACACAAATGTCCGCCTCTTTGAAGAGAGGAAGTGCCCTCGTGATAATGAGTAAGGACCATGCTGGTTCATGTCTCCATCCGTCACTCGTTTATTCCCTCATTCATTCGATGACGACTTATTGGTCACCGAATGCGTGCCAGGGCCTGAATCAATCCTCCGGATGTAAACAGAGCCCCAAAGCTTCCTGTGAATACCGGGGGCGGGGGGGTCCATGAGAGGCTCTGGTAACGGGCTGCTGACACCCACCCTCTGAAGTTCACTGCTGGTCGCTGGTTTGGTGGGCGTTTGCTGCTAGGAGATGAAAGCTAACTCCCTACGCCGTAGCAAAACCTTTTTTATCACCGGGGCCGGCCTTCCCTGCAGCTTGGAAGAGGCCGAGGCGTTGGGATCTGCGCCTGTCCCAGGCGGGGTCCTTCTCAACTCCAAGGGTCTCGTTTAGGATTTCAGACCTCGACCCTCTGCCTCTTCCCCGGGAGCCCGGCTTCCACCTTCTGCAGGGTGTCTCCCGGTCGGACCCCACGGCGGGCAGGCTCTGCGGCCCGGCCCTATCAGCAGCAGACAGGATTTCATGCCCCACAATGGGCGTTTCTATCTCCCTCCATTACTGCGCCTCCTTCCTGCCTGGACGCTCAGCTGCTCAGATAAGGGGCTGCAATATCCTGCCCGCAGCCCTGCCGGAGATAAGGGCCCCCGCCTGTCAGCGGGGTTGGGGGGGCGGATATCACAGGCCAGTAAGGAAAGACGTTTAAACAGATCAGCGCCCCCAGGAGCCGGCTCCTAAAACTCCCAGAAACAAAGCGTTTCTTTCACCTTTTGTTCCCTTTTATCAACAAATGAAACTCCTTGTAATTTCCTGTCTCTTTCTCAAAATTACTTTTATTGAAGCCTGGCAGGAAATGAATCTGCACCCCAGACTGGGTTGACTGCAGGGTCGCTATCGGCGGACCAAAGGTCCCCACGGACGCCCAGCTGGCTCCGTGCACCCTCGGTGCCACCTCGGAGCTCGTCCTGGGGCCTCGTTAGGACACCCAGCCAGACTCGGGCCCTGCATGACCCCTGCCTTTATTTCTGCTCCAGCGTGGATTCAGCCCTGTGGCCGTGTCCCTGGGCCTCCAGGTGCACCCAGGTCCTGTTAGTCAGTCAGAGGAGGGGAACAGGGCACACCTTTGGAAAAATGTGAGAACTCAGCACTTGCGACAGCTCCACGAAAACGCAGAGTGCCCTTCTTGGCCGCCCGGGAGTGGAAATCAGGTGTCCGCCGTGCTGCCCGGCCCTTCACACGCACTGTGATTATCAGGGGCGGGGGCTCGCCGTACGGCAACGTCGGTAACTAATCGTCACCTTGTTTCTGTTGTTCCTTGGCAGTTTGCAGACTCCTTTAATTTTAATCCCCACAAGTGGCTCTTGGTGAATTTCGACTGCTCTGCCATGTGGTAAGTTCCCTGTTCGTCACTGCTGGGCAGCTCCCCAGTACCCGCTGGTGTCGGCAGGTGCAGGTGGGGCTGCTGGGCCTGGGGGAGGGGTGAACGGCACTACACCTGAGGCCGGCCTTCCGTTTCCAAGCCTGGGGAGGGAAGCCTACCAGGCCCTCGCTGGGAGAGAGGACGTGTGATTGCAGCACATCAGCAATGGGAAAGAGAAGGCAAACCTGGAAAATCTGTAATTAGATTTATCATGCAAGGAAACGTCGATGTGCAGTTTTAATTTGGTCGCTCCTGCCTTTTTCATTCGCGGATGTTGAAGGACCCTAAGCCTCGTTCTCTAAGTTGATTAGGGTGAGTGCTCTTTGCCTATGGGCACCAGTCCTATTGGATTAGAGAGCAGACATATGAGCTCATGTTAACTTAATCACCTCTTTAAAGAGCTCCAAATGCAGTTGTATCCTGAGGTACTAGGGGTTAGGACTTTAGCATATGAATTCGGAGACACATCCAGCCCATGACAGTGTTCAAGAAATGACTATGTAAAGCCGTTAGGCTAATTTTTAGGGCTTTAAACCAGGTCAGCTTATTTTAAACCCTGTCATCTTAACGATGCCATTACTTCCTGATATGCTTGATTCTTATTAAACTTACATGTACCTTTAGCTCACTCCACCCAAACAGCCCTCCCTGCCTTACCTACTGCAAGGAGGCACTCGGGTTTGCACAGGCCCCCGCCTAGCCTCTCCCTGGAAAGAACCCCACTGGGGTCACGCTGGTGGGACAATGCCTGCCTTGGGGTCAGCCCGGTCCAGACAGGACAAGAGGAGAAAGGGTCACTGTTTTATTGGGAGGGGTCTGCTCTCGAGCACGTGGAGCTGGAACCAGAAGGCCACGGTCCCTGGGCTCCAGGGGTCTCAGCCACAGGCCAGCATTTCCGGTGGATAAGATGCCCAAGTAAACCGAGACACTAAGCAAGATCGAGTGCAGGCCAAAGCAGACTGAGGGCCCGGGACGAGGACGAGAGGGCCTGCGTGGAGGGGCTGGGAAGAGAGGGGAGGTTCGGGGAGACGCCCGGGAGGCCCGGGAGCTGGGGCCAGCGGGGAATATGGGGGAGCTGTCTTCACTCACCGCCTGACGGTGAGAGGCGGAGGCGGGGAGAGCCTGCTTAGCGAAGTGGCATTGGACAGGGGGCCACGGCGGAGTGGAACTCAGCAGTGCGGGTGCCTGTGGGGGAGGGACGGCCAGTGCAAAGGCCCTGAGCCAGACCGGGACACAGGGCGGACTCTGGGCTCAGAGCACGCCGCCAAAGACCATTGTGTGTGGTCCGTGCGGACTTACACTTGTGTTAAATGAGCCAGCCGCGCAAACGTGCGGCTTATTAGCATCCCGTTAGTCACCAAGGGCCCTCACAGCTCCATTTCTGCAGGCCACGGTGCTGGGGCCGGCAGTACAGTCCTGGGGCCAGCCTGGCCCAGCGCACACGTGGCCGCCAGGCCCCTGGAGCACACGTTTCAAAGATCACAGTTGCTCACCAAATTCTTCTGGTTTCAAGAAATGCTAAGCCCAGTTAAATGCCAGCACTGGACCCTATAAAAATGTAAACTACAAACCTGAGTTCTTGGCTGTCGGGAGAGAAGGCCATGTGTCCCCGCTGGGATGGGCAAGCGTAATAGCAAAAGCGGTGACGTTTTTAGAAGTAGCACTGAGAAAAAAGCGTCAGGTAGGAGCATGTGTGTCACTAGATGCAGACAGAGAACCCACGTATGCAAGGCCACACACGCTCTCATATATGAAAGCGGGCACGCAGGACGCGTGGCGTCGCTACGATGGACGCAGAAAAAAACGGGGAAACAAGGGCTGTTTTTGGGGTGAATGAGGCAAAAATCAGGCCCGATTTTACTTGCACTTGTGTTCAAGCTGTCACTGATTCCGCTTTCTCTCTGGATCCTGCCAAGAGTCCTGGACCTTAGTCCAGGCACAACCGCAAGGCCGCAGATGCGTAGGTGGGCTGCAGCGTCCCTCTCCTGTGTGCAGGCCGCTGCCCCTGGGCCCGTCTGAGCCGTGGGCCCGCTGAGCACTGCGGTCCAAGCGGGGCAGCCTGCGAGTCTGCGGGGGGCGTGGGAGAGGCGGTGTGGGGTGCAAACGAAGGCCGAGCGTCCGTTCAGAAGCTTCCCGCACTGGCCTGCATGTCCATAGGGTCAGAAACATGTAATTTGCTGTTGTAAGCGGTCACTGCAGCACTGCGAGGTGTCCCAACAACACAATACAGACAACAAGGATGCTTGTAAGACCCAACTGCAGAGAAGCACACTCCTAAGAGTCAAAAACAAGCAAACGAACAGTTTTAAGTTATGAATTTTTTATAGATGTGCTTAAGACAAGGCAGATATAGATGGCTTTTTCTTTTATTGCCCTCATGGACTTTTTTCGTAGTCCTTAAAATAAGTGTCTTTGGTTTGATGAAATTTTACCAATGGTTAGTCTGTAATTTGAAGTAAACACATCGGTCATATTTCTTCGATATTGAAATGGACAAGATAATTGAAGTTTCTAACGCTTGCAAGCATGACAAGCACAGTAAATACGTTTCATAATGATTTCATTTTTCTGTGTATAAGCTTTTTATTGTCCGTTTTTGAAAGTCTTTCATGCACACACAGGAACCGTCCTGCTCAGATCTCAGGATCAACTTCATTTCAGATGCTCTCTGAAGAAAGCCTCAGAATCCACACGCACCGAGGGCAGGTTTCGCCTGCCGTAAAAAGAGGCTTGATTTTCTTCCAAAGAAGAGTACGATTTGCTATGAATGGTTTTATAGCATTTGCACACTTCTGTTAATGGACTTTTTTTTTTTCATTCAATTACTCCGGAAGATTTTTTTATCACTCTAGTTATGGTGAGATTGATTCTAGAACCTGCCTTAGGACCATCCGTGCCCAGTTTTCTACGTCATGTTTGGTTTCTTGGTGCTCCGTCCCAGCTCCATAATGGCGCATCCCTGACAGCCGGTGCTGGCACACGCACGGAGGCAAACGACCTCACGGGCACAGACCGAGATTTCCTCTTAACAGATGCAAAGGCGCTGGACTTCATTAGCAATCAGAAGTGCGAAGTCGCAAGGTGGCCCTGTCGCTGGCTGTGGAGAACGCAGTCTGTCCGCACCTAGTGTCGGCTGGACGTGGGCCTTGGGGACGCGTTGGGTGCTTTCTCCAGCCAGGTTGTCGACCCGAGCCCCGCCCACCGCGCTCCACGCCAAATCCCGGTGCCACAGGCCGTCCTTGTCCACGCACCAGGCTTCGTCCCACAGGAAGGGGACTCGATAGGAGTGTGGACGCGTCGAGAGCTCCCCAGGTGAAGGGCGACCGCCGGGCAGCAGACGTGGGTGGACGAGGACGGCGTGGACGAGCGGGCCGGAAGCTCACAGGTGTATTTTTGAGAGAAAGAGAAAACTGCAGAAAATTACATAAAAGAAAACGGCACCATTTATGCTTAACCATCCTATGTTTACGTTAGGTTTAGAATCGTGTAAAACACCATAGAGGACTCGGGTTTGTACAGAAAGTCGGGTGGAACTCTGGGCGTGACAAACCTCCACTGGGCGGGGAGCAGAGGGGCGCACACGATTGAACTGTGCTTCTGGCAAGGGGCATCTGACCATCTATAACCTTCCGCACGATTTCATCACTGCGTGACACTGTATCGACTGAAAAAGCAGCCGAAGTTCACGCCGGCGTCAGTGGGAAGGGCAGTTCCTCCAGGGCACAGAACTTCCCCAAGGGCAGAGAGACCCAAAGGGGTTCCTCCAGGGCTCTTCATGCGGGAGCCACGATGCTATGAAATCCTCGCGCACGGCTGGCCCCACCGGACATGCGGGGACCACCGCTCAGGAAACACAGCTGCCGCCCCGTGGCCTCCTGGGCACCCGCCCCATGCTTGCCCACTGTCCCCGCTCAGGGACGCTCACGTCACAATCGCTAAGCCCGAGCTGCTAGCAGACGGACGTCGCTTCTCTCCTTGGCCGAGACACTCTGTTTGCCGCCGGACCGTGCTGAGGTGGTGTCCGCGCCGCCACGTGAGGCAGAGAGGCCGTGAGCGCGGAGGCGGGCCTCTCTCGGCCTCTCTAGCGTAGCGGGCATCGGGAAGAGCCACCTGCTGGGCATCTCCTGACGCCGGCGCTGCAGGCCCCACCGGTGCCCACACGCAGCCCCACAGTGGGGCAGACCCGCGGGGTGAGAGCTCGGCCCCCGGGTCGGCCCCCGGGTCGGACAGTGTCACAGATGGGGCCCAGTTACCCTCGCTTCTGTCCCACGTGGCTGCAGAGTCGGGGATCCCGCAACCCCCTGCTCTTTCAGGCCTGATAATTTGCTAGAACAACTCAGGGGACTCGGCGTGAACGTGCTTCACTCACTTTGACCGGTTTATTAGAGAGCAGGCAGCCAACCAGCCAAATGGAAGAGGGGCGGGGTGGGCGGGGCTCAGAGCTGCTGTCCCAGCACATCGAGGCGCCCCGCAACCCAAAGCTCTCCGAGCCCGCCGCTGAGGGGGTTGGACGGAGGCACCGTGATGTGCGTGTGGTTCATTACTCACCGGCCATTGGTGATTAACTCGATCTCCAGCCCCGTCCCCGCCCGGAGACGGGGGGTGGGCTCACAGGTCCCCCCTTCTGATCACGACGGTTCTCCTGGCAGCCAGCCCCCAGCCCGAAGCCAGGGAACCCCGGCCACCTCTCACCTTGGCATACAAAAAACACTCTCATCTCTGCACGGACCCCGAGGGTTTTAGGGGCTGCGAGCCAGGACCAGGGACAAAGACCCGACTCCGCTTCTTCCTTATCCTGCACCCTCGCGCAGGTGCTCAGGGCTCCCGAGACCCCTGCTGTGCCACAGCGAAGCCAGGGCGGCGGGTGCACGGCCGGACGAGGGGACAGATGAGGGGTCCTTAGGTTCTGGCGCTGGGTGCCTGAGCCGAGACAGGTGGAGGGGACAGGCGGCCGGACGTGCCACTCCTTCCGGGGATCCCCCTCCATGAGCCCACCGTGTGTTCTCCCGCACCAGGGTGAAGAGTAAGACAGACCTGATGGGCACCTTTAAGCTGGACCCGGTCTACCTGAAGCACAGCCATCAGGACTCAGGTGCGTGTGGCCCCATGTGTACAGTGCGTCCGCTTTCGTTGTCATCAGAGCTGTCTTTGCGGTGCCAGGAGCCCGACGGGAAGGTTCCTGTCCCAGAGGCTTCCCCACGGGGCGCTGGCCACAGAGCCCAGGGAGGGCTGCTTCCCAGGGAAGTGGGGTACGGGGCCAAGGCCTGGGGCACCCTTGGTGGTCCCCTCCCCAGACCTGCTTGGAGCCGGAGTCAGAGCCAGGGGCCGAGAGGGCCAGGGCGGGCACAGTGCTGGCGCCTCCCACACAGAACCGTTGGAGGGCGACTGCCCCACTGTCTCTGTGACACGCGCGTCCATTCACGCCAGTGCCGGCAGGGGGGCGGGGGCGGGGCGTGGAGAGAGAGTAGCCGAGGCCGGCGGGGCGGGCACGCGGACCCGCTCTGTCCGTTTGCGGTGCAGACCCGCTGTCCGTGCCTGGCACTGGGTGCGACAGCGAACGAGGCCAGCGCCACCTGCAGGGTCTGGCGGGGCGTGAGGGGCATTGAAAAAGCACTGGCCGCCGCCGTGGCCCTGTGGCCTGGGCCTGCCCCACAGCCAGCCGTCCGCTCCGTGGGACGTCCCTTCTCTCTCGCTGGCACCGGGTGGGCGGGGACT